AGACTCGGCATTCGGGAGACGTTGGCGGGGGAAATGGGGTATTTTCTGAGTTCTGGACAGCTGACATCTGGCACTAATCGTGTACGCGGAAGCGTCCTAAAGTCAGTAGTGAACACGCGAACAATACAGTAGTACAGTTGCGGATGGAAGTGACCTTGCAAGACTACTGAATCTTCGTCTCCTAACTTTATGGTGTATGCTCGGATTAGCACCTCCACTGTATACACCGCAATGCCAAGACTGAAGATCTCGCACAACTGCTGCATCTTCGTCTCCTACCTGTGACAGTTGTGGTGCATAGTGTATGCGTGGAGCACGTGGAGCAGTCCCTCAACCGTAAGTAAGTGTAGACCAACTCAACGACGACATGGCATGTATTTCAAAGACTAAAGCACCTTCCACGAGACTCCTATCACACCGAACATAAGACAGTACAGTCTCTGAGAGTCACCCCATAGCTGTGAGCGCCTGCAGTTATTGGCCCTCCGGCTAGACATGGACACACTTTACAAACAACTAGATTGTAAAACTGGACATGTAGTTGACATTCACAAACTGTTCATGATTCCTGCACCCCCACTACTGCTCTCTGTGTGTATGTGCGTGCGCGCGCGTGTGTGCTGTATGTGTGTGTGTGTCTGGGCACAAATCAGGTACAATGTTATGAGTCGCTACAAAATCGTGTATCTTCCTCAAACCAGTCTTGCCAGCGCATGCATAACGACTGTCACACTGCAACAGCATGCGGTCATGGTTCACTTGCTTCACTCAACTCAGCCGCAGAGCTCGTCCCAGACTCAGGAATGACCACCCACAAGCTCTTCCTAGTCTTCAGGCTACGCACAGCTGCTCTTCAGCCCAAGCACGTGTCGTCTTATTGGCAATATTGCAACATACTAGACACGAGTTTAAGTCAAACTGTCAGCTTTGTGCTGACTTCTAGAACCAGCGCAGGAAAAATTCAATAATTCTGTCTATGCCAGTCCACGCTTTCCACAGCCATTTCCTAAACGTTTTCATTAGTCAACGTATCGTCACGATGTAACATGGATTCATTTTCCGGATGAGCCTTCGCGGCGGTACACCATACACGCTCTACTAGCTGCAAGGTACTAAGGTTGTGTGGGCACACATCTTGGAAACCCTTTGTGGTCGCATCATCGCGTTTGTGGATCTCGATCAACCCGAGACAGGGCTGTATGAGTATGCCATGCTTGAAGTGCCAGCTTTGCTTGCCAAGAGTGGAGCGGCAGCGTAATAGCTCAACACCGCATGGATATCTCGTACTAAGTCTCCCCCGCTGTCACCCGAAGCCACTGTAGGATTAATCGCCAATTTATGCCACAGTTGTGGATGTATCGCGTCGCCACGAGCTCAGCGACAGATTGGCGATTTGTCGTGATTCGAACACTTTCATCTGGGTGTTGGCAGGATATGCGGCCTACTAGGGCGATGCCTTTACCACCTGACAAGTATGACTGAAACATTCGGTTACAATCACTGATCCCAGTGATAATGCGGAGTCACCGACAAAAGAACAGAATGGAACTGGAGAGGCGCCCCAGCGCCTTGCGATGAAAGAACCTTTTGCAGAGATCGGCAACACAACAAATGCGCGATGAACTCACTGGACGCGGGAAAGGTCCAAAAAGGAGAGACAGATGTTACAACTGTGCCCTGCCTGCCACGGGTCAAAGACACAGTAGCAGTCGAACACATGTGCAAATAAAGGCGTTAAGTGGACTTGGCCAAAGCCGCAGAGCTGCGCTATTGTTTGAATGATACTAGTAATCCTGCCGAGTCATGGCCGCATGGCATTGTGAGCATGGCATCTTGTATACCCACGCAGAGTGGAATTTGAAAGTACTCCACCAGAAAAATGGTCCAGATCAGAGGCAGCTACAGAGTACAGGGCGAAGAGACGCCGTGACAGCACTACAACATCTACTCCAAGAATTCATGTTTATGATAGTATGATAGTAGTAGTATGATAGCGCGGTGACAAGAGCATATCGCCACTCCGCAGAATCTACACCAAACTTATCAGAAGCACTTTATCTATGTAATATGGTATGCATGTCAATTCGATGATAAAGCATCTCTCTGATCATCGGCACGTTATCAAACAGTGGTCCTTGATCTCGCACAATGAGCAATCACTATCCAGTCCATACTGCAATACTAGTGTGTATCGGACGTGGGATCACTCTACCTTACACATCACAATCTAGCAAATCCTCTCACTCTGCCATTAAACACATGCTCCGTAGGCAGAAGTACGGGTGCACATTGATTTGTCCTTCAAATCCGGTGAAACCAGTATACATGTATCAGCCCAGCAGTATCAAGAACAACTAGGCGTCAACACAACGTTATAACCTTATATGTTTTAAGAGTATTTCACATACATGTACATAAGGGCCTTTACGAAATGATGTCATCCAGATGATGTGATGCCTGATGACGATGCATGTGTTAATGTACATATGTGGTGGTGGCAATCACCACCTCAAAACACTATGGAATGCACCGGCTCTGATCCAGGAAGAGTGTGATGTAGGGCTGCTGGCTCTACACTGAGTCTTCACTGCCAGTGAGGGGGTGGTGGGGGATGAGAGATGCCCACACATGCAGCACTGCCAACACCAGCATAACGCGAGGCCCTTTAACCCTGACCAAACAGCGGCGGGTGGCGACACTGCGGGTGTGCGGTACTACCACAGCTTTAACAAACACCCAATGCCTGGCAAGTGCTGTGATAGTCTGTATTCTGATGTATCACAAACATGTAGCGGCAATGTCAATCAATGCGTTTAAGGTACATGCATAATTGACCAGATTGTTCATGTCATCTCGTGATATCAACTTGGAATCGCATGATCAGGTCACGCGTAGGCCCCACGGGGTCACGCCAACGACATACTAGTACTTAATGTGTACCAGCACTAGATCTACTGCCAATATTGGCGATACGATACTGGGCAGCAGTTGAGACTCCGTACAGTACACTACAGAGACACAGCACACAAGTCATCCACATCGCCCATGTACATTATCATACATGTACAGCTTTTACCTGCATTCACCTAGCAACTGTGAGTGTGGACTACCTATGCCATGGGCCAATGTGAGTGTAGACGAGATAGCATGACCAAGGCATGAATACCGTCTACTCCACAAGAGCAGTGAGTGTACTTGCGCGTACTGTCTACCCCACACACATAATCATAATAATTATTAGCGTGTCCATGTACTTGCATGTACTGTCTGGGAACGTCTCCGAATGATGATTGTACTGTGCCATGCCTATGTGGACATAGAGACAGCTGATTCGAATAATATTGGCACTGAACCTATTCCACTGTGTGTGTGTGTTTGTGTGAATACTGTCTAAATTCCTTCAGTACAATGTACGTTGTCGTTGTATAAGGTCATGCACGTCTAGATCTGATTGCTGCTTATGATAAACTAGACGACACACGGACTGTGAACAGAATGAAACGAGTTCTTTGTATACGGCTTCGTGTGTATGTGAATACTGTCTTTTAAATTCCTTCAGTACAGGCATGTACGTTGTCGTTGTATAAGGTCATGCATGTCTGGATCTAATGACTTCCAATGATAGCTAATTACTTAGTAGACGACACAATGAGAACAAATGGAACACGTAACGTTGTTAGTGGTTCTCCAACCTCAACACCATCGACCGTCAGACTGCAACTAGAGGACATCATGTCCATACACGTATGCATGCATAAACACGAGATAACGAACAACGGTGTCCATCCATGACCACTGTACGTAATATCCATGTACATGTACATCACCTTTTATGACCACTGTACGTTGCAACCATGTACATGTGCGTTTCCACTGACCGTAACCGCCGTCGCATATGTTATGTACAGTCATGACCACTGTACGTAATAACCATGCACATGGACGTTACATGAACATTGCACTGACCATTTTTATAACACAGTACGGATTAAGCGTGCAAAGCCTGGAATCAGTGATTCAGACCCTGCATGCATTGTACTTTGTAGGGGAGACTGAAAACAAACGCTGTGGATGGTAGGGTAGCTGGTGTAGGATATAGTGTACCTCGACCGGTGCTAATTGCCCGCCTGGTCTTCCGCTGTCTATGCGCTGCAGTGCAGAATTGCTTCTCCTGCATGGTGCTGCATGCTCAAGCAGTAGTACAACAGGCACAGGATGCGAGAACAAAGCTGTGAAGGTGCTGCAAGTGGTAGTTAGTGTTGGCACCTCGCGAGCTCACACAAAACGAGTGCGAGGTATACACGCCAGGATCCAAGGTGACACAATGCAGTGGTCAGGGAGAGTGAGAGAAAAAGAGAGAGAGAGCAGAGAATAGAGAATGAATACCTTACACGGCACGCCATCACATGGGTGGCGGCACCTGAGGCAGTAGGGTCCGTGTGGAGAGCACACTTATGAGAAGGACACAAAGGGTTACTGCGCTACCAGGGCCAATGCAGAGGGGAAGTGGAAGATGGGGCAAGAGAACAGGATCTGTGCGACTAGGCCAAGCCAAGCTAGACTAAGCTAAGCTTTGGCCAGGCCAAGTCGTGGAGGACAGCTTGTTCACGCTCCACACCTGGCAATTTGCAGCACGCCGGTGGTGCAGTGAAGTAGCTCACGGAAACTCACGGAAACCGAGCACGGCGACGAGGCTCACAGGCTTTCTGTTCAACACCCTGCTACCTACTAGGAGGAAGAGCACTGGTGTTAGCAGGACGCGAGCTGAAAACGACATGCGCCACGGGGAAGATATGAACTACCTACCACATGCTAGCAGTGGAGACGCACACGCACACACACACAGACCTCGCTGCGTAAATGCTATCTCTGCGCGCCTTCCTCTCCTGCGCTGGCCGAAGCGCCGAAGCGCCAGCTTAAAAGGAGCCCCAGGTCGACGGAAGATGGTCGGTTAGAAGCAAGGCAAAGAGAGAGGCACTCCGGCCAATAAGGAATAATAAAATTGAATAGGACACTCGTGTCCAGAGCGGTTAAAGCCGGATAGCCAGCAGGTAGCATTCAGTATAAATATTCACTGTCGCATCTCTGAACGGCGTAGTTGACTTTGGGAGAAAACGGGATACGCAACTTCCGTGTTGGAGAAGCGGTCAGAAGCTGGGGCAGTCGCAGTATATTAGTCTCCAGAAGGCTGTCAGAATTCTTCACAACCTGCAGATGGTGTACAGCGCCTACACGAAAAACGTGTCGCTCGGTGGTGTTGGAGCTAGGAGTTCATTAGACGTGCTGCGAGTTGGAGCAGCTCGGTCGTATACCAATGATACGCAGTCCAGCGTTTATACGTGAAGAGGACGACGAGGGGGACCTGGAGAGAACGATAGAATCGAGTATTGTTAGCACTGTTGCTGATAGTCCCACCTTGACAAACATTAGCAGCAGCAACACACTTGGTCGCAAAATGGTCGCCGGTATCCCTCAGTCGCAATCCTGGCACTCGCTGTCCTCATTCTCTCTGTCCAAGTCCAGAAAGCAATCAACGCCAGGAGCGGGGCAGACGGCTGACCCGCATCGACAGACACCAACCGTGCCGTCCAGTGCCAGTAGTAGCCGGAGTGATAGCGGCAAGTCGTCTGGATACGCCAGCTCCACGCAGTGCCAGCAGCACCTGACAGTTCGGCCACGCTCCAACACAGCCTCGCCGACCACCGGTACTGGAGCGTGTCGACGCTGTGGAGCCGTACTGTGTCGGTGGCGGAAAACACATCACAACGTGGTCGTATGCGGTGCAGGCGGAGTGGGAAAATCAGGTAAGACTTTTGCAGATGAACTCACAGGTCTGTATTTTATTGTGTTAGAAAAAACAACAAAAAGAAACAGCTGTCTTATCCTCTCTTCGTATGTCCACCGTTCCGGAAGAGGGAAGTAAGACGGGGAATGGTATGAACAGTGCACAACGTCTTTTGTACTGTCGGTGGTCGCATCATTGCGGTATAGTAGATCTACGCACACGTCCCACATGAACAGAGAATCAGCATAATGGGGGATAGGTTGCATTTTCGAGGAGCCCAGCATGGTTTGCTGGGTGATATGTTAGGACGCAAGGTGTCCACGTCGACATGAGGCGAATATCACCAAAACAGCACAAACTAGTCAGTGCCGCTAATCGAACGCGGCATCCTGACTCGTGGCAGACGTTGGCAGGAAGACAAACTTAATGTTACTGGTTGAATTTCATCTGTAGATGGTCGCATTGTGAAGTTCACAACTTATTGATCTACATGTGCCTCGTGTTGTCGGCACTGGTGTGCGCGTCATGTAGAGGGAATTCAGCATCTGCATGGCATGCTCAGTGGCACACTTGTTGAGTGAGTCTAGTGCCCTTCTGTAAACCTACATATCACGTACATGTAGTGCTATTACACTGTACATGGCTAGGGGATGGTTGGATGTAGGCTGCAATAGAGTCTGGCCACCTTGCACCCAGACTCTGGTTGTGAACAAGTTGCGAAGATCTTCACCATGCATGACTGTCTTGTGTATTGTGCAAGAGGTGATGTGTTGGCTGGTTTTCCTGGACATTCAGGCGCGGATCTGCGTACCTAATCAGAGCTAACAAGAGTTCATTTGGGGGGGTTAATATCTTATAGACTCTTGGCACTGGGTGGATTATGCCGAGCCATGAAAATCTCGTCATTACCCAGTATCTTCGCGTGAAGACTACACTTCTTCAGTATTTATAGAGATGACTCCGATTACTCTCCCGCTTCAGGCTGTAATAGTCATGTACCTCGCGAAGGCATTGAGCTTGAGTAACATCGAGAAGGAACTAATTCAACTCTGCCTGTAGCCTTGCAGGATGTAGCTTCCATCGTTCTGGCCTGAGTGAATGGGATTGCAGAGGGCTGCATTTACCCTCTCGCCCGGAAACTGTGGACCAAGCAAGTACCACCGTGCCAGAACTAGAGACAGATGCTGGCCCAGGTAGATTAGTACTGAGTCTATTGACAGCATCTGGAACTGTGGAAGGGAGATGATTGACAGGGACCACTGTTCAGTTACCGATGCGTATTGGCACAGTCAGTGGCGTCGAGTGTAATTGCGATTGCGACCGCATGCGACAATCATCATTGCGCATTTGCGGCCATGTATCTGCTCGCTCGAACTGGCACGCAATTGCAAAGGAAAATATCCAATGATATAAGTGTGTAACAGAACGCTGGTACGACTATTGAGTGCCAGTTCACGTATGATTTCATGTATTGTACCGGACGCAAGAACACTCCTCAGCGATGTCGATTCAGAGCTCAACACGACCACTGGCGGTGAAAGGCCAGATACATAGTGGAGATGTCATCAGAGGCGACATGATACTAGATCTAGTAGCGCTGATGGAATACATGGCCATTGCATTGGCTAGCGTTCTTTAACCATGGAGAACATGTTCTGGCTCGGCATTGTAGCGAAGTTGCACAACCACCTAATCCATGTGATCGTATGCAATGTGGCGATTGGACAAGGTGAATATATTCCGTGGTCAGGTCATGCCAGTCAGTCCTATTTCTTTACCGCCCATCTACACTTTACGTTGGGCGTCCACACGCAGTCATGAATGACGCGTTCCGATGTTACCTGGTTACTCTCCACAGACAGCAAAACACTATCAGCTTGGTGACTGGGTACGTTCTTTCAAACCACTCGCCACAAACCCAGGAATCCAGTGTGCTATATATAGACGAACAATGGAGGGCTCGTTAGGGGCGAATTGACATGTTACAAAATCATTCACAGATCGAAGTATGTGCGATGTTTAGCTTCCACGGACAAGGTGGTCGCCACACAAAATGATGTCGATAGCCACATTGCGTGTACATGTACATGTACCTGTACATGAACTTACATGCAGACCTAAAGTCTAGCTTGGATTACTGTGTAGACATGTCGAGAGCATATTGTCGAGACGTGTACGATCATTTCAACAGGTCAGCAAGTAGCAGCTGTGTACAATCGTGCAGTGTGGGTAGACTGGGTAAGGATGAGCGCACAAGGTGTCCAATGTACTCGGGACGGTAGACATATCCGCCGCGCAAGACTCACGCTCTCACAATAACCGGTCCACACAAACGAACTACAATGTAGACATGCTGTAAAGAACAATGACCTATTCGTCCTTGGGTGTCTCTATAAACAGATCAGAGACATAATGGCGTACAACTGTAACCAAGCAGAGAAAGGTGTCAGCGGTTCTTGCAGTGGTACCCGTCCACTAAAAAGATCCACCAGCACAAAGACTAAAACAGAACGGCCCATATCATCCATATGGGTGATAAAGTCTCTGGAAGTCACACGCCAGAAATCGGTGTCAATGTATCGCATTCCGCGCGCATTGGTGACCCCAGGAAGCCCTCGAAGTGGAAAATAATGCAGCATGCTTATAGTTATAGTGTTCTAAGGGTTCAACGGTATCCCAGCGGATTGTGTGAGTTCCGTCGCGCCCCGTCCAGGTATCTAGTCTATGTACTTGCCGAAGGCCAGGGGATGATAGCAGAAGCACAGATAGCAGAACGAGCAACTCACGTAGGGGAACACAGCGGTTCAATGTTTCAACCAGCAACTAACGCACGGGAACATAAGTTCATGGGAGCACAAGAGGAACACGAGTTCACCGTTTCTAGACACTGCTAGTAAAACCAACAAATAGAGCGTTTTTGTATCGTTCCGCTTTTATCCTGGCTTGTTATCACGGGAAGAGAAGTAGTTTGTCTGTTTGAAGATAGGAGATTCTTTTCTAAATAGCCAGTAGCAATGCTGTGATCGGTCACGTCTGCGAGGCGATGAAGCCTAAACGTTTCAAAACCATTCTATTTTGGTCGTTGCAGTGTCTCTGGGGTAGAAGCGTGGACTTTACTTGGCCTGAACGTGTACCCGTAATAATTATTATTTACAGACACCCTTGTAATAATGATTCGTCCAAGATCCAGTGTACCTATACTGACCATTTGTACCCCCATGTGTGTATGTGTATGTGCGTGTTCCCCGCGTCTGAATATGATTCCTGCAGCTCTGCTAGTACAGTATCTAACGCACAGGTTCATCTACGATTATGATCCCACACTTGGTAAGCAAACGCACTAGGTCTAGGATGTGTTCGACAATGATTGCTGTGTTCAGGTCTATATCTCTTCCGCCTTCCCCCATGTGTCATCCTCTCTTCACTCTCTATCATCTGTCTATATCTCTTGCTCGCTTTCCTACCGCAAATGTTTCTCCGCCTTTCTCCCAAGTCTGAAGAGTGAGCTCTTGATAATGCAGTACATTGTATCTATCAGATCATGATAAAAATATTGAGGTCCATCATCGGGTAGATTGCAGATCGAGTGATCCTTGTTATACTGATGATACATGCTGCAAACTAGTGTGCCCCCGCGCACCCATGTAAGATTCCTCGCCTATCAAGGATCCCAGCAGGCACAAGGAAAATAGTATGCTTCTATCGCTGGACTACAGCGATCGGAGCGGTCCGAGGGCTGGCTGGTATTGGCAGTCAAGGTGTTCTTCGGACTTTTTCCTTTTCATTCCCCAAACTGATGAAAATTTCCCACAGAACTTAACCCGTTGGTGTCGGTAGGTCCACTTCTACTAACTAGTACTAGTATGCTGATGGTGTGAGTGGTTAATTTTAGGTCTTAATCGTAATACAGCAAATGTACAATGTACCTGCACGGTACAACAGTGAGGTTGATTTGACAGTACAGTGCATAACAATGCTGTTCTGTACAGTGCATAACAATGGTGTTCTGTCCATGTTCTGATCTTTATTTGCAGAGGAGAGCTATCATTCGTTCCTTGCACTGGATGGCTGTTGTGCTGAACTGGACATTACAGAGCTAGCTGGACAGGTGAGTGAGCCGCTTGTCTACGACGTACTAGTGCTGAGAGTATTGTATTGATGAACAAACAGTATTGTAGTTTGCAATACAGCTCACTTGACCTTTTCAGGGTGATTTTGTGCGCGAAATGATACCTCCTCTCTTGCCAAGTACATAACCTCCACTATCACAAGACGATTCACAAGACTATAATTGTTTGCATAGGTTCGAAATGGATCTAAGGTGCACCATCGACATCATAAGTCGATGTTCAGCCAGGGTCCATGTTTGACTCTCAGGGACGGGGTAACCCCATGACTAGACTGCCCAACTTGCTACTGATGTTTCCATATCGACTTTAACCTCGCAAAAGCAAAAACTTACTATACCCTGGGCCAGAATAACATGTAAACATCTCCTTAAATGAAATTGATTGTTCAAACTAGGAACACACGCTTCTTCCCGAACTTGCTCCGTGTGCTCCGGATGGCAGTCGTGAGTCAGTCAAATGTCAAGTTCGGCAAGAAGCGTGTGTTCCTAGTTGGAACAATCAACTTCATGACTATTACCGCCGAAGTCGCAACTTCTAAGTTCGTATGAAATTTATAGTAAAGAAAAGTACCAAGGAACTGCAAGTTGCTCTATAATGTGTACTAACACCACCAGTCCTTGGTCCTCTTCTTTACTATAACATAATCCATCGGCTCTCCATCCGAGTCTAGATGTAATTGATCTGAAATAATCAAAACAGTCATTGCGTCAACAATGGCATCAAACAATCGTACACGTGTACTCGCATCCTGGCATTGTACATATCAACACTCACTGGGTCATTACTGACTGATGTCATTCTTTTACAACACTAGAGTGAACTTGTTGCTCCTCGTTGGAGCAACCAACTTCAACACTAGAGTGATTTATAATAAAGGTTTTTGTTCTGCTTTGACGTCATTCTTCTTCGGTTTTCTTGTGAATTGTTTTTTTTTCCTATTCAGAACTTGACCGAGTCGTGTGGGCTGTTCCGCTCCAAGGTGCTGGGTGCAGATGGGTTCATAGTGGTGTATGACATCACGGATCCGTCGACGCTGGTCGAGGCCGAACGCACCATCGATCACATACAGCGAGAGCTTCTGACCATACCGTCGGCTTCCAACAGCAACCGGTCGTCAATGTCGGAGTGCGTCGCGCAATCGCCACACGAGGAACCTTCTCACGCGGACCGCGACGCGGAAGCCGTGCCCGCGGCTCAGCCACCGCCGCACATATCGCTCTCGCCGGCCACGTCGGAACACTCCGATAGCAGCACACCCACCGTTCCCGGTGTGTCGCCTGAGAGCACGGTAACTGCGTCGGGCGTTGCGTCACCGCTACTCACGAGCCCAAGCCAAGCCAACAGTATACCACTGGTACACATTGACAAGTCGAATGCAAGGTCACGCGACAGCCTGGACGCATGGAGTGCGCGCGACTTCCCGCCCATCATCCTGATCGGCAACAAGTGTGACTTGGAGAGCGAGCGCAAAGTGCCGACACGCGACGCACGCCAGGTCAGCCTGGAGACGCGCTGCTACTTCGACGAGGTGTCGGCACGGTCCGGGCACGAGGGCGTGGACCGCGTCATGGCCATGCTGGTGCAGATCATGCGCAGCCCCAGTCTGTTTAAGGACGGCGCGTTGACACCGAGTAACTCCGGCAGCCGCTCCGGCACACCCAATAAAATGCCGACGTCGCCAATGACCAGTGGCAGTGCCATTCTCGGCGGCGGCGCAATCGCCCCCGGCAACGCAATGGAGGGGCCGAGCGGCATGTCGGCACTCGCAGCTCGCGGCTCCGTTCTCACGCTAGGCCGCTCGGCCATGACAAGGAAAGTGCAGGAGAAGCGACGACGATCGCAGTCCGACATCTACGCCATCAAGCACTCCGGCAGTTGGGTGGCGGAGGCCAGCGATTTCCGCAGCAAGACACTCTCGCCGGAAAGCACACGACCAAGCCGTCATCAGTGGTGGCTGCGTGCCAGCTTGCGAACTCAACTCGTCCGCTTCCAAACCAAGATCAAATCCACCAAGTCAAAAAAGTGAACTCTTTGACCAGCTCTACTCCAACCAATGTCTTACACAATCATATCTATCAGCTATGCAGGTCTTGTCTTTGTGAAGCTTCAAAACCCTATAACAATCTAGAATGAAGGCGAGAATCCTACTTTCAAAGTGAATTTTTTTTAAAGGAGCACTACGTTCATAGAGATTTTGTGACACCTGAACCACTTTGCGGAGAATCCTGTAACGATAGGGCATTGCACATTACGCATACACGTACACTGTTCTACATTCTGCCATCTACCACACAATACGTATTGTAGCACTCAACATGTTTTTTACGTCAGACTGTGTGGAGAGGTGTTACTTCAATTGTTGATGAAAGTGAAAATCGACGTTCATTGTGATATCGAAACCCTGCTTTTTGACAAATCTTTGTACACACAATTTCCCCTTGAGCAGTGACATTCTGCTAATATATCCTTTTGTTGATACCCTATTGTCTAAAGCATAATCGGTGACACACACACACACACACACACACACGCACACACACGCACACACACACACACCATGCTATTGCCATTGCACTTGAATTGCGGAGTACTAATATATTAGCCTTCCACCACCTTCTTAGTGGTATGCCCATGAATGAAATTTCACGCTCTATTTACTTCATTCCAATGTAGTCCACTACTGAGAACAGTGGGTTGAAAAGTTGAAAACCGTTTGGAAAATGTTTTGACAGCTGACTGAGCACTAGTAAGAAACTAGCAGCTTTACTGCTCTGTACATGCGTGAAAGAACTCCACTGACTGTCACGAGCCCATCCTCCTGGCACAGACAAAAGACAATACTCGTATTTTGGAAATACAGCGGAAGTTACTTTGGAGTATACATCTGTGTACATGCGTGAAAGAACTCCACTGACTGTCACGAGCCCATTCAGGCTCCTCGCACAGACAATACTCGTATGTTGGAAATACTGCACAAGTTGCTTTGGAGTATACATTATAGTGTGCGATCAGAAGCTCCTGCTCCAACAAGTAACTTGTTCTGTGCATGCACAACCGCCGGGAGTGACCGGAAGTTTGAATGTTAGTGGATCTCTTCATGATAGGCACTGGTTGTGTTCCAGTAACGTCTAGATCCGATGTTGCAAGGAAAAATTGGCATATATTGCAGAGTAGTATGCGTGAGAGGTACTAGGACTCTCCACTGGTCTTCTTCATTACAAAACAGGATGTGTAGCATCTCATAAATAATACTCCTCTGCCACCTGGGGTGCCAAGTTACAGCCATGACCATAGTCACTGTGGCTCGTCTGGCAAACATAAGATTGTAGTACATTTGCAGAATGCTGCCGATTATAAACTCTGCGTGTGTGTATGTATATATATATGTGTGTGTGTGTGTGTGTCCGTTTCTGTGTGTGTTAGTGGTGTCTGCATGTGTGAAACCCAGACGGGCAAGTTCTATTCATGTTCAACAAACATGAACAAATTCTGCCGAAAATGCAGGAAGTTGTATTTCTCGCCGGCGCTGAGCGCAGCGAGATACGCGAGAAATGATTTCTCGTGAAATATTTTCAGTTGCAAATATGGCATCTGGTGTGTTCTTTATTGTCGCTTCTTTTCCTGACTTCTTCAGTCAGTTTCGAGTCTCACCAGTGTCCCTGCCCTCCCACCCTTCTTTTCTGTGCATATTATCATTGCTTTTTTATCACTGTTTGCCGTGATGTGCTTGCCATGCCTACATGATGCCTAATCGCCATTGGGGATATACACCCGGCTTTTTCCCTCACAACTGCGTCCGTCGGCGCGAGGGTTTTTTCTAGGGCTCAAACGGTCACGGTTTTACCCCTAACGGTTAACTGCTAAGCTAACGGTCGGTTTAACGGTTATAACCTATATTAAGGCCAGCCACGGCAATCCTGCGGACTCTTTTTTAACCGTATATTTGACTATACTCATTCAAAAAAATGTACCCTATTCAGTACAACGCACACATGTACATTCTCTTGCATGCTCATTCATACATACTCTCACACCAAGAGACCAGATATGACCGAGTTGACAGCCCAGAATTAATTGCGTACGCGTGCGACAGCCTGCGCGAAAGTGCATACTTTGCAACGACCTGATACTTGAAAAATTGACTGAAAAGTTAGTGCGTAACCGTTATCTTTATCGGTTAACCGTTAATTCTTCGTAACCGGTCTGCAACCGGTTAATCGGACTAACCGTTTGAGCCCTAGTTTTTTTCCCGGCTGGCTCGGTCCAGGAAAATTAATCTGACGGTCCCAAGTGGTTCTGCATCATGGCCTATTTCAGCTATCCACTGGCACGCCTATTCTATCTGAGACACTCTGCTCTCAGTCCTTGCTTCCATACCTCACTCGTTATCCGGTTCACATCTGGCTGCGGCCAACTACCCTTCACTTTGTGTGTTGTCGCTATTGCTGTCCATGTCTTTGTGTATGCCAGTATATGTGGAGCGAGAAGTCGCTTTGCCACATGACAACCATCTATCACCTCCGGATAAGATGGAGGACTGGGTGGAGACAGGGAGATGGCCTCAGCTTTGCCTATCCAGGATCTCAGCAGCAAACCGTGACTGGGCATGCGTAGTAAAAGACGCGTGGACGTTGACGATACCCGTACAACGCTGACAACAGGACAATATTAGTGCACATCCCTTTTGTCCAGGATTCTCATTTTGACAAGTGCAGACACAGCTAGATGGACAAATCACCTTACCTTGAACTGAATTGGATGAAATCATTTGCCAAAAATGCCCATATGAGAATCACTGTTTGCAACATGCAGTGGTAGCAAATGAAATCCAGCCCCCTGCTTTCACATGGCTTGATGTGATGTGTCTGCTCAGTCAAGTAACCCGAGCCAAAGGGGCTGGATATCATTTTGCAACGACTGATACTTACCGTCTTGCGGATTAGCAGCAGTTGCTGTTTCTGCTGCTTCTTCTCCTGGTGGTACAGATGATGGAGATGCGCCATCAACGTCGCGAGTGAAGCGTGAGAGGAACTTGTGCCGGGCCTGACTTGCTGCAGCTGGTTGCTTTGCTCCATGTATTTGAGTAAGCAGCCTGAGCAGGGGATAGATATTCAATGTACACACAGTGAAACAGATCAGTGAATAGGGGTGGAACTGCATATCCAAGAGCCATAAAATATGTACTTTATGAAATCCACTCGTGCGAGTCAAATTTGTGTCCTGCACCAGCTCACATAATTATACTAGTATTGCAGTGTCCGCAGGTCCGGCAATGGCTGCACATGGCGTGGCATTGACTCACTCGATCGGATTGCAGTAAGCAGCACTGCATATTATCAGACTGAACTGTGTAGTCTGCATACACAACAGTCATATTGTGCTGTGTATGCAGACATGGCACGATGACATTCAAATCACACCAGATAAAAACCACCCCGGTGTGCTCAATCTCTGGTCAGCTACAGCTAGCTGATCCTCCCTTGTTAGTTCTCGTCAGTAGAGCTGACAGAGACTGGCTGAACCAATCGCAACCAAGTCCAGTGAAAAACGAAGCACTTTGAAACCAGCTCACAGTGTCAAAGTCAGAGTGCTCTACCTGCGAGAAACATTGCGAGCTTATAGCTTAGCTAAAGTAACATACCACTTGAAGCCTGTGCCCTGGGCGCAATAACACGAAAAGTGTAGGAACTATGAAGTGAATACTAGCAAATGTGAGTAAGTGTGCTTGGGTGCTACTACCGTTCAGTGTGTCCGGGCACTACTCACGTATTGTGATCTTCAAGCAACTTGCTGTACCTTCCGGGCAACTTCAGACTTGCCCTGCCATGTGCACAGCAAACACAGCAGATAACAGACAAAACATTGGACCAACAGTATGACCAAATAAAGATTTAAAAGCAGAGGGAATGAGGGGAGGGACGGTGCATGTGAGGGGGGGGGGATCAAGGGAGGGAGAGATAGATGGGCAGGGGACACAGGTGGGCAGGCATGATAGGATGAGGGCAGAGAAGAGAGAGAGAGAGAGAGAGAGAGAGAGAGAGTGAGGAGAGAGAGAGAGAGAGAGGGAGAGAGAGAGAGAGAGAGAGAGAGAGAGAGAGAGAGAGAGAGAGAGAGAGAGAGAGAGAGAGAGAGAGAGAGAGAGCGCGCGAGAAAGAGAGAGACAGAGACAAAGAGACAGAGAGACAGAGAGAGACAGAGAGAGACAGAGAGAGACAGAGAGGGAGACAGAGAGAGAGAGAGAGAGACAGAGAGAAGAGGGAGGGAGAGAGAAAGAGAGAATGGAGCGACAAACGTAAAATAGAGATGGGAGATGGTAGTACGGGAGTTGAGAGAGGGAATGTGATGACAAATCATCATACATCTGGACCAGACTAACTAGTTACTACCCCATGCGATCACTTTCGTACCTTACCCATCTCTATGTAACAAGAACTTCTCGTCATCACTGTCATGTGTGCTCCTGGCACAGTCATCATCATCATCCACGTTTTCGCTGGGTAGTGTCTTGGATGGAAGCACCTGGTGAGACTGGTCTGGACCTGCAGGTGACGCACTCCCTACAGCTATACTGTGCGGCGACGTGTTCACAGATGCAGAGCCTGGGCCACCAACGTCAGGTCCAGCACTGTCAGATTGCCGTCTTGCCACTGGGTCGGATTTCTTCGCTCTTGGGCCGTCTTTGGGCACGTGGGCACGCGCGACGCCAGGGCTATAGCTGCGCCGTCGCTCCTTTGCACCCGGCTTGGGTTTCTGACCGGGTTGCTCTCTCTGCTTTCTTGTGTCCGGATGCACTGGAGGACGTCTGAATGTAGCGCTATGGCTGGAACCAGAATCAGCTGAAAGTGAACAAAATGAAAGATGGATAAACGTGGTGGGGAAGGGGGTGTGGGAGGAGTGAGTGATCAGCATACATGTACATTAAAAAAAATGAGTGTAGTATTTGGCAGGTGCCTGCACAAGGAACGAAAGCAACCGCAATGGATTTTTTATGAGCTCCCATACTCCAAACACCTTGTGATACTTATGATGAAAAGAGGAGTGTCATGAGCGACCGCTATTACAAATTCATGATGTTTTCTGGCAGCCTACTCTGCCACAACATGCATCGCATACTCAGATCTGCGGAACAAAAAATTACCTTTCAACAATGATTGACGATTGGTCAAAAATTGGGTTGTTTCCATGGTTTCACCTAGGCCAAAGCTACAACGTCAGTAAGTATTGTTGCAAAGAAGGGCCCACGAGCGGGATTCGAGCCCAGCACCCCTGTCTTTCCGGGACAGTGCCCTACTGATTAGGCTACCGGGGATCACACACACTCATGGGTCCTTCTTGCTACAGTATCATATCAATGGGACCCCAGTGTCTGCTCTAGGATTTCAAACCAACCGGGTCCACGTGTACCTGGGCACGACTCAAGCAACAGGTCAATCCCGGGTACATTCAAGTGCGGCTATTGTATATCAGGGAGTCGTGGGAGAAGTGGGAATCTTAGGGCTCCCTGATTGAGGCCCACCCGGGTTCTTTTACCAAGCGGGTCCAAGTACCCCCCCCCCCTGGGTCGCTGACCCGGCTGACCCGACACTGGAGCAGACACAGGACCGTCACCTCTAAAACATCATGCACAATACAGAAATGCAATTTGGTTGCAATCTGGATCGTGAGCGTGGCCGTAGTAAGTCTCGTGCACGCAATCTACACACAACACAGAGGAGCAACACAGAGGAGCAACACAGAGGAGCAACACAGAGACACACAGAGACACACAGAGGAGCAACACTTACCCTTGCTTGCTGCAGTCTGCTTTGGTCTGGCAGCTGTGCTGGTGCTACTGCTGGTACTGGTGGTGGAGGCGGAGGTCGTGGAGTGGGATGACTGGCTGGGCGGTTGCTTCCATACACGCCTTGCCTTTGCGAGTACCTCAGCAAGCAGAGCCTCGTCCGCCGACGCAGCCGCTGAATCTGCGGCCGGCGTGGCAGAGACTGATACGGGTGCTGTGGCATCGGTGCGTGGTTCACTAGGCCGCTGGGTTTGCACCTGCGCAGGGAACTGATCAGGCTTGTTGATGCCGTGTGCGCTGTCCACACTGCGGTGTGATGGCTGTTTGCTCAGGGCAGGGGCAGACATTACACCTTTTGCTATTGCTGTTGCTGCTAGCTGTCTTTCTCTCGGTAGCCTGGGCCAGGGCTTGTGGAGGATTCGTGCCAACTCATCACACTCAAACTCCAGTCTGGACTTTCGCAGCTCGCACACGGCAAGCAGTTCATCCAGGTACTTCTGCAGGCTGTACGGAGTGAACATGTAGATGAAAACCAACACAGTACTAAGATGGAGAACGTGAAAACATCCAGAAGGGTGCTTACTTTGCGAACTCAACCGAAACCCAGGGGTGCGGGGGGGGGGGAGAAGAGTTCCTGTTACGCCTGCATGTACAGAAATCTGGTCAGTATCACTACTCTGACCCGGGGATCTCTGCGCACGCAGCTAACTGCACGTATTCCTACAGTGACTAGTCAGTATACCATACCTCCAGAGGCCATACAAAATCTATACTAAGTCTTTTTAGTCTGGAAACTGAAAAAAAGCACCGCTCCCCGGACAATGTACGGTGCTCTGGGGAATTCATCCCTCATCAGTTGAGCAGGGAGTGTTTTTTTTTCTACAAAGCCCACATTATCTCCAGACGCTGGGGTGGATAATAGAGTGTGCGCAGCTGGGTACGATCAAAACACCAAAACGAACGGGAAATTATTATACTATGGTCAGAATTCTCTTCAAGCGATGACAATAGAAATAAGCGATGACAATAGAAATAGCGGCGGAAATCCAGCAGCAGCATGTACTATCAGCACCTACACCAAAATACCCCAAATATTCAATATGACCCCACAACAAATTACATGCACACGCACATACAATCATGTTCACAATCAAAAATCAATGTCAGCCAATGCAGAATATGCTTATATTCTCAGACCCGCAGCTTGGCAACTATGCCAAAAAGTGAGGATCATCTTAATTAAGTTTAAGTGAGATACAATACACAATATCCACTGTGGACACACACACACACACATGCATACACACACATACACACATACATGCATACACACACCACACACACACCACACAGACAAACACACACACACACACACACACACACACACATACACACATACACACACATACACACATACACACACATACACGCAACACACACATGTCCACAGCCCACTGGATGTGCATATCAATCTCACATTATACTGACCATGCAACACTACACAAGAAGCAAGAAAGAAAGTGATGACTAAAATCTGATGGATGATCCCTAAGGTAGAAGAAGATCAGTAAGTTTGCCGATCATCTCCGATATGGCCTATCCTTAACTATGCTCCAGTGTCATGGATTACGGAACTCCATCACAAACTTCCTGTCGACCATTGCGCGCATCTCCACGGCGATCTCTGCACACTCGACACTCATCGTATCCTTGGCAACCTCGTCGGGTGGACCGAACAAGGTGAGGCGGCGTAGACCATTCTGAAAGTCGCGAATGAGCAGCACCAGCACCATGAGTACGTCCGGCGTGGGACAGGGGATGGCTAGACGCGGTACGCAGCGCTCCGACGTCGTGTAGTGGTTGAGTATGATGTGCAGGACTCGCTGATTGTCGGGTTCCTGCGTCGGCGTCATGATCAACTCCTTAAGGCTGCCGTTCTTAAGTGCCGCGTTCACTACACGCAGCAGAAGATTAGGACACTTGGGCAGCTGCACGAAGGAGATACGGGGATTCCCCTCGAGCCAGTCAACAAGCGGCTGCATTGCCGACACAGGCAGTGTGCCTTGGACCTGGCTGTTTTGCAAGTTAAGGTAGACGGAATAGGTGCTGTCCAAATTGCTGATACGGACAATGGCGCGCGTCATTGACTCCGTCATCCAGCCGTGAGGCAGGAAGAAGATTAGCTTGCAGGAGTGGAAGACAAAGCGGATAGCAACCAGTTTTGTGCAGGTACTGCAGCAGGGAGAACCGAAAGTGCTCAGAACCGACTGGAGAACGTTCAGGCAGGCCTCGTCGCGGTTAAAGTCGCGCTCCACGTTCACGACCACCTCGTGAAATATAAACTCCGTCTCCCCGCCGGACTGTAAGTCGGCAACAATATCCTGACATACGCTAGATGCCGTTTGAAACACCGACCTGGACGAATCCTTGCTCATTATCTCTTGATCTTCCTTGCCCGGAACTATCACAGCCATGACTTGACCATTGCGAGCAGAACTAGGTACAGAACTACTGACAGCTCCCAGCCTTGGTGGTGCACGTGAGGCGCTGGCACTGTTGATTACGCGCTCTATCTCCTTTTTCGCCTGCCGGGCCAATGCACCATCGCCGTTCGTGTCGTTGAGGGCGTCCTCCTCGACGACCAGGTGAATGCTCTGCGTCATGTGCCAGTTACACGTGCGACACTGCTCTTCACCGTTGTTGCCAGCAGCAGCCGTCCATGCTGTCTCTGCATCATCCTTGCCCTCCTCTAGCCCAGCATAGTCATCCATACCATCCAATGTGGGGAAACTATCTAGTCCCAGATCAGCAGCAGAGGTGAAGAGCACGTCGGATGTTGATTCCGAATGACGACGGTTCAACTTGCAAACGAACGGCTGGCCAGACCGGTTCGTGAAGAGGTCGCGGACATGCTTGCGGTTCAGAGGCATTTGGCCTAAGCAGCCAAGGTATTGGGCCATTGTGCTTCAGTGCAGAGTGGTTCACTCACAGTGTTGGGGAGATACAGCACACTATTCTCCAATGGTGGAACACTACAAACTGAAACAGGTTGGTCAGACACTGTATGCAGACACTAGCACGAGATAGCGAGGCAGTTCTGTGGACCAGTCGACGTTAGCACTCAGAGTTGCAAACCAGAATGTGCACTGAGTGTCAGACTTGCATTGATGCAGACTCGGTGGGGAGATACTGCTCAACAGTAGTCAGCATAGGAACAATAGAGGCTATCTCTACAAATGCTCAGAATGTGTCGAAGGGGAAAGTGAGCCAAAGTCAGAGTATACGTTTGATATGAATCAGTCATGCCAGCAATGCCAGTACTTGTAGTGGTGTACTGTTGCGCCAATGTTAGCTCCCTCCCTCCATTTTAGCTCATTTTCTTCCTGTTAAGGTTGCGCTTGTGTGTCTTTTGCCCGTACAAAAGGCTTGGGTACAATGGGAAAAAAGATGTTGCGCACAAAGTGACTGAGGAATGCTTAGTGGCGAGTGACGCCTGTATCCAGTAATAGAGTTGCACCCCTGTGGTGAGATTCAAAGTGCTAAAATTATGACTTTGAAACCACACAAGTCAGCTATGGCACAAGGCTACCTATAGTCTTCCTGTTCCTCCAAGGTCGACTGTCATTCACCAATCTTCAGATAACGATACTAGTGGCACGTGTCCAGGGTTATAACACAGGACTGATAGGAATAGATGTGGCAATTATGCGCAGCAAATAGAGGCGCCATGCCTGTACGGTACGTTGAGACAACACATCCATATTGCGGCGTTATTATTCTCGCCTCTCACCATACACACCAAAATTGATCGTGCTCGCGCTAATCTTCGCAGTGATGCATGCATTTCACTGGAACTTAATATACCCTTGGTTTAGCTACAAGTGACGCCCATGTCAACGGTGAGCAATGCACACGCTCCTCTATCCGCACTAGTTTTCTAGTGAAAAAAGAAGAACCAAATGTTTACAAATTATCCTTTGTTTGTGTCCAACACTAACCAATTATTATAAGCAAGCAACTGGATAACTAATTACTTGTAAACATTTGGTCCTTTCTTTCTTCACTTTAATCCTTGGCTCTCAATCCGAGTCGTATTCTATTTGTATTCTTTTCTACTGCATTTTATTATTCTAGCAGGCGGCAATCCCAACAGACACTGAGGTCTTCTCACAGGATGCACAGGGTATGCAGTGAGTTCATGGCGAAATGAACTGGGACGTTCGTAGCACGGAGGGGTTCTGGGGGCGTGCGTGCACCGGTCTGCACTGAAAGGATGCGATAGATTTGTACCCAGCTCAGCTACGCCCAATGGGTATAGCATGTAACTGCTTAGTAGCGCACTGTTGCTACACAGGATCCATGCTCAGCACTCTGTGTTGAGTGTCCTCAGTTGCATGTATGGAGCATGGGCATAAAATACACCTTTTTGCACACACACACACACACACACACACACACACACACACACACACACACACACACACACACACACACACACACACACACACACACACCCGCCAGTCATGTGGCAATCAGTACTGGCCAAAGAAATCCAACCTCATCATTAGGACTGGGTAATGCGCAGATTGGCCCTTAGCCCTACACACTGTTCTGTGCACTTGAACGTGGCGCGACCACATTCATGAGGTCGAATTTCTCTGCCCAGAGCTGTAGTTTTGTAACGGATTGCACAAAATTAACTTTAATGTTCATGCCCACAGTGCCAACGCCATTATGAATAGCTGGCACAATGGCACACTTGAATGTTTCATGACATACTCAATCTGCGGACAGAACTGTTTCGTCCTTTGTTGACTCATCAGCGCTGCACAGAGAAAATGAGGCCGAACCTGACAGCAATGAAAAATACATTTTCCAAAGCCAGATTTTCATGACATAAAATTAAATGTTCTCCCAGGCTAACGGGCGAGCATTGCACAACGTCAGAACTATAGCAGATCTACGATGCTCTCACCATCTCAATCCATCATCAGCATGTGCAGCGTGCAACTCCTGATCCTGTTGTTGTTTCGGCACGGCGCTGCGATCGCTGGCCATGCTGGGCAAGTCGTCCAACACTACTCTTCGAATTACTGGACAATACTGGAATGATGTTGCCTATACTAGGCTATACCCTTTGGCTGCGCTGACTGCACTGTGCTGCGTCAATGGCTCTAATTCGAAATTACCGCCAGAAATACTCGACAGCAAAATTTATTGTGCTGTGAAAGGTATCTGGCCGGATTGTTCGGCTAGATCATAGGGGGGATGTTATCCCTTGGCGACACTACCAGCGCTAGAGCTGCAGGTCATGGCAGTGTCATGACAGCTTCATTGAGAACGAACTCAGCAACAAGAACAAGCAGAAGCACAGTGCAATGCAATGTATTCAATCATTAATTTTCATAAAAATAATTGGAGAACAGAAAAATGTTACGGCGCATCGATTCGATTGTGAATCCCGTCCAGTTTGGATGGCAAAGGCAATCCCTCACGTGCGCACGTGCTTGGGCCTAGCCTGGCCCTGGCCTGGGTGTCACTCGCCTTTCCGTAGGCTTTCGTGCTAGACTGTGGCCTTTTGAGTTTTCTAGGCCGCTTTTTTACGATTCTAGAACTACGGTACGGGTAACTTTTATGTCGGTAGCTTCGCATTATAATACGTGTGGAGGAATGGAGGAGGAGCATAGCCAAAGCCACTGCAGACTGCAGAGACAAAATCTACACACGAAAGCATCAATGCATAACTCCCAGGTAGTACGTGTATTTATCACTCCCTTAGTATTGACTCACATAGATTTTTGCCATACCTAAGCAGTCAAATATTCCTGCATATTTCACTCCTAAGGGCTATATTGACTGCTTATAATTATTTGACTGCTTAGGGTTGCGCAGTTGAACGGTGCCTAGTGCAGCATTGTCACTGCATGAGTAGGTGGTGGCGCAACGCTTGTGCAATCATAAAACCGGGATTCATGAGGTTATGGTTTTGGAATTTGAAATACGGACTGTTTGTCGTAATAAATCTAATATTGACTTCGTACTTGGTCAGTATAGGAAATAAAAACCTCGTAAAAGACCTCGGCTTCGCCTCGGTCTTTTACTCGGCTTTTATTTCCTATATTGACCTCGTACTCAGTCAATGTTAGATACGTACAGTGAGTATTCATGCCATAGTGTGTCCTAGGTAACATACTTAGTAATAGAAACTACGGTTCTCGTGATACTCGGCTGGATGCGGAGTTTTCCGCTTCCGCGCAGGAACACCACCACCCTCTATGGATCAAGGCACAGAAATAATGGAAAACTGCCTTCCAAATGACAATCATGTGAATGCCATGGCCTTTTCACAGCATTCGAGAAAACAATATCAACAATTATCACTCTTCTATATCGACCTCCACTAATTCTCGTGATCCTTGACTGGTCCTATATTACCCATATCGCCGCAATATCGACCGCTTATATCGACCGCTTGTATCGACCACTTAGGCATTGTAATCTTTCGACTTTGGAGGGACTTAGAATTTTTCTCTCCACTTCAAAAAGAAAAATTGAAAGAAAGAAGACAACAGAAGAGAACAAGCAGGATTTGAACTCACAACAGTATGAATCTCAAGCAACCGCTCATACCACCCAAGCCACTGTGCTGCAGATGCTGAACTCTGTTGTTCTTACAATCTTGTACCCAAAATAGGCAACATCCTATGTACACTATAGTACAAATGCTATACTAAATTTGTTAAAATAGCTCCTAAAGTTTCAAATTTTGGGGTTATGGCAAAGGAATCGTGATAAATAGGATATTGACCTCGACTTCGGTCTATATGGGAAATATAGGCCTCGTAAAAGACCTCGGCGGACCTCGGTCTTTTACTCGGCCTATATTTCCCATATAGACCTCGTCTTGGTCAATATCCTATACATATCTCGGCCTGGGTTCAACATCAGCAGCGATAAGAAACAACCAAAATAGCAGCGTCTCAGAGGTTGCATTAGTAGCCCTTGGCGGATTATGCTGGCATAATTTCTGGCAAAATCTTCGGATTTTGTCTAAACATTATGCCCTGGCATAAAGGGACTACTGAGACCAGACGGTCGGCAATAGTCATGCTCCAGGCATATTAATTTCAGGCATGTTACAGGAAATAACCTGGTGAATGTCACCCCTTATAAGCTGTGCTGTCATGGTGCCAGAGTCGTTGTAACGTTGCAAAGTGCAACCAGCGTGTGCGGGGACAATATACATTGTAGCACCATCATTGGCATAATCAGTCCAGCATAATGCGGCATACTCACTGGCATAATCACTGGCATAATCACTGGCATAATCACTGGCATAATCACTGGCATAATCACTGGCATGATCACTGGCGTAATCACTGGCATAATGGAAAGCATAATTCAGCACTTTACCGAGCATAATAGTTCACCATACCATTAGATTGGACCGCAGCATAGCTTAGCACCACCATTGGCATAATTCCAGCATAATGTAGCATAATCACTGGCATAATTTGGGCATAATGGAAAGCATACTTCAGCAATTTACCGAGCATAATCCGCCAAGGGCTATGCATTAGCGTTTTGCAGACTACGACTGTCATGTACATGTACATCAGCTGAGAATACTATACTTCTGCAGTTATTCATAGTCAGTGAGGGAGTAACAAAAGAGAAACATCGGAAGACAAATTGAAAGAAGAAAAAGGAAATACGAAGACAAGAAGAAGAACAAAATTATGCAGTGATGGTACAAATGCACAATGTTGCACTGAGTAAGCTAATCACAGCATGCCCTGAGATTGTGGTGCAAAGAATGGAAGTGATGCCCAACATGTCCCAGACTAGAGAAACAAAGAAGACTCCACAACAACATTCATACGAATAATAACTAGTGAGCCAGTCATCCGCACGCCAGCTACACCACAAAAGCTACAGAACGTAGTTCAATATTCCCGTAGCTATGCAAAAGACGTTTTTTTTTTTTAAATGAAAGTGCACATGCCTACATATAGAATGGAAGAGAAAAACAACAACAACATCAAGAGAACATAGGGGACTACAATGGGCGTGTAGGTGCTATTGAGCTGTGCCGGTGAGGTGAAGTGCGCTCCCCCGACCAATGGTCTCGGGATCAAGGCGCACATCACGCACCATGGGGGAAAGGGAGAGAAGAAAGACTGTGTGTGAAGAGTGAGAACCTGAGAGCCAGACAATGATGGAGAAAGAGAGAGAGAGAGAGAGAGAGAGAGAGAGAGAGAGAGAGAGAGAGAGAGAGAGAGAGAGAGAGAGAGAGAGAGAGAGAGAGAGAGAGAGAGAGAGAGAGAGAGAGAGAGAGAGAGAGAGAGAGAGAGAGAGAGAGAGAGAGAGAGAGAGAGAGAGGAAGAGAGGGGGGGGAGCGGGGGCGGGTGAGTGAGGGTGAGTGCCAGATTGGTTCAGGAAACTATGGCAATGGACCAACAGCTGCGTTGCTTTCAGTGGGGGGGGGGGGGCAATACGGAGAAGTTAGATCTGAGCTGCTGCCACGCAGAGTAGTGTGCAGGCACTGGATCAGCGAGAAAGGGGCCACGAAAAGCAGTAAAAAGGAAAGAAGAGAAGAAATAAACATTAACGCAAAACATTCTGCACTGAGGTGATTCGAGAGGTCTAGGGAGCAAGGTACAGTTCAGTGGGGTGAAGGCAAGGTGATTGTTGTGGGACTGGAGAATGGAACATCGTCAAATTTAGCCATGGAATGCTGTCGCCCACAACCAATCTTGGCGCATCAGGTGCTGACAAATGCGAGACTTGAAGGCCTGCATTCCCTTCGATGCCGGAGGCTCCGGGATGGCTTGCTCAGGAATGTCGTTCCATGCCGCAATGAGGGTGTAGGGGAATGACCTCAGTAGGTAGTTCGGTGCTGTCCGAGCAAGTGGCCATTGCAACTGGAAAGGGTGGCGAGAAGCTAGTTGTCGGCGGGTTCTTGGAGTAGGCGCATGCGCCGACGGTGGTGGGAGGAGGGCTGTCAGCTGGGGTGGACCCTTAATGTAGTGCAACTTGTACACATATTCAAGCCCTGAGACTGCCCTCCTGAGCTGCAGGCTCTGAAGGATCGTGCCAGGTCCGATGATGCGCATTGCCTTCTCCTGCACCCTGTCATAGCGTGCTAGGTGGGATTGGGCTGCACACATGGTGGCTAGGGGAGCGTACTCCAGGATGGGCCGAATGAACCCCTTATACACGGCAAGGCGGCCCTCATGACCCAGAAGCCAAGCGGCACGGCGCAAGAATCCCAGGCGCTGGCTGGCCTTGACAGCGACAGCATGAATATGGCGCTGGAACCCAAGCTTAGAGTCGAATGTAACTCCAAGCAGCTTTAGGTGGTCCGAGTCCGGAATAATCTCGCCGGCAAAAGTGGTTGGTGGAAAGCTTTCGAGCATTGCACAAAATCAGGCGCTGGCTCTTGGTGGGCTCGAACTGGATCCGCCATTGCTGGCCCCATGCGGCAAGATTGCTGAGGGTTGTCTGTAAGGATGCTGCCTTCTCCTGGAGGTTGTCGTTTGGTCTGATCAGGCTGTACACGGTAGTGTCATCGGCGAAAGAGCTGAGCTTTACTCCATGCGAGAGGCATTGGTCGATATCGGCAGCAAACAATATGAAGAGTGTGGGGCCCAGGACGCTGCCCTGGGGCACTCCGGCAGTGATCGGGTACTTCTTGGAAGCGTGGCCTCCAGTTACCACCTTTAGGCAGCGGTTGCTCAGGTAGTCGCGTAGCCAAGAGAGAAGAGGTCCGCCGATGCCTACTCGCTCTGCTTTGTTGAGGAGGCCGACGTGAGAGACGCGGTCAAACGCACCGGCAATATCAATTGCTACTACTGGGACACAGCCTCCCTCAGCTACAACCTGCACCCATTCGCTCTGGAGTGCTGTGAGGAGGTCAGCTGTGCCACGGCCACGTCTAAAACCAAACTGGCTGTCAGGCAGCAGGTCGTTGCGCTCCAGGAAATTGGTGACTTGTTGGTTTATAATACACTCCATGACCTTGGATAAAACGGAGAGCAGGGACACAGGCCGGTAATTGGATGGCCTAGATTGAGGTGGCTTCTTGTATACCGGGACAACGTGGGCGAGCTTCCATTGGGACGGTACAACACCGGCACGAAAGCTAACACGGAACAGTTTCGTGATGGGAGCAGCAAGTTCCTTAGAGCACTCTTTCAATACCCGACATGGAATGCTGTCAGGTCCAGATGCCTTGGATGGGACTAGCCTTGCAAGATGCCGCTGGCCTGAAGCTTCTCGGAAATGGACGTGCTCTAATGGCTCGTGGGTCGGGATGGTCACCGCAGGAAGGTCATTGATAGTCAGTTCTTGGTCACCCAAGCTGCACTTCGAGGAGAAATGCTGTGCCAG